TATGGTCTTATACTCTCGAAAGTCTGTCTAGTCTAGTCAAGTTGCGTTTAGTCTAGTCAAGTCTAGTTTATCGAGTCAGCCTGGTCTTCGTATGTCTAGAGTTATTTCTATTCATGTCAGGATTATTAGACCAAATTGAAACAAACCCCAATTGCTTATTAATTTGGTAAAGTGTGAAAAAAAAAAAATTATACACTTAGTGTATTAGAGGAGAGGAGATTTTTCTGGCCCAAGATTGTTTTAAATTGCTGGTCAACCAACAATTTAATTCAATATTAACTGTCTCTTTTATTCACAATTGACTCAGAATCAATTTGAATTTGTAACCTCTACATCTCTCCATTATTGCTTATATTTATGGCGTAAAACTATGAGAGTATATAAAAAAAACTTTTGTCTTTCTTATTTTTTCTCAAGCACTTTTTTTTCTTTACACAGAGAAAAAACTCACATTACACAGTAATCTCTCTCTTGCTTTAGTCTTCTTTTAAAGTAAGTCTGAGAGTTTAGTATAGAACGATCAGTTCGTCGATTCTTAATCGATTGATGTAGTTATGGTTTCACAGTGATTGTATCCTGAGATTCGTTATCTCATAAATCGCCACACTACGGGAGATATTTCGGTAAACCTCTACTTTTCGTATTTTTCTTAATCGTATTTTTAAAATATTTTTATCTAAAAATTTTCTCTATTTAATTTTTCACTATTTGTCTTAATATTTTACGCGTACACTCCTCTGTTATAAGACTTAGAGAGTCAATCGCTTCTTGATTAAAGCAGTCCAGTGCTCAGTCCCATAAAACTTGACACTAGAGATGCAACCATCCCAAATAAGGTACCCTTTTGTCTCAAGATCAGCAAGAGATATTAAATATGAAATTTATCTCTATTTCAACGTTGGTGATGTACCAATGATATGTGTAGAGAGTCTCTAAGAATATTTCTCTAGCTGAAGACATATGTCAAGTTTGAGCTTAAGATTGATTCACTAAAAAGCTTAATTATACAATTTTATGTTTTCTTTTGTATGTTGATCTGGTCATCAAAGACATAAGATGGAAAAAAAAATGAAGCAATGATTCTTTTTGAGTTCTTCTTTTATTTAAAGTCTGTTCAAGCAAACTTTTATACACAGTTTCACGTAATTTTATACACAGTTTCACGTAACATGAGTCTACACAAATCCAAGAAACACCTTGACTGGCTTCTAATAAGACAAATGGTTCTTCAGACCGAGTCAATCTCTTACTTGATACTCTTGATGAGGAAGTTTCCACTCAAATTTTGACACACTTATCACATGCAAGTAGCAATATGAAAACGGATTATTTAAACGATCCATAAAAAGATGAAAAGTGTTAGATTCAAAAGAAACAAATCTTTGTGGGTGGTGTAGTTGCTCTGTTTTGGAAATTAAAATAAAAGAGTTATAAGCCTCTCAGATACTGAATTTCCATTTTACTAATTTAGTAGCAAAAATTTTCCTATTACAAAAAAAAAGACATATTTATCTAGAAAGGGCAAAACGGCCAAATCCCCCACGAACTTTATGCATTCTGAAAGTCCATACACAAACTATTGAACCATGTCTATAGCTACATGAAATATTTAAATGCGGTCAATTTCATCAAAACCGTAAATGGTGTGAGTTTTCTGTTAATGTTTAATGATGTGGCTGACACGTGGCATACCGGTTTATTATGGTATGTGGTTTGACTGATTTTTTTTAATTCAACCATCAAAACGACATTGTTTGGTGGACTTTAAAAAACAAAATAAAAAATTATATTCATTTACCAGGGTTTGAACCTTCAACATCACAGCGAACCATATAACTCTCAACCAACTGAGCTACATAGACTTTTTATTTTTATCTATCAAATAATTACTAAAACTTTTTTTTTAATCCCTAAAACTCCTATTCTTCGATGTCGTCTTCTTCATCTAAAATAGAAATCAAATCTCTCCTCTCCTTCAACTTTCGTCGCTGTGAATTCTTCTCAGAGGAACAGATCTACAACTAACTTACTATCACTGATAATTTCGATCAAGAGCAAGGTTTGATTATGATGAGAATGATGATTCGCACCAAAAACAAAGCTAGGGTTTCACTTTGTTCCCCTTGGATTCTTGCTCTTGCAAAGAGTATGATTGCTTCGAGATACAGCCTAGTACAGACGAATTCTCTAGCCTTCTTGTGAATCTATTGCTGAAGAAGAATCAGGATCCCAGGAAACGCAAAGAACATGCCGCAGGATTGATCCTCTCCTTAAAGATTGATCCTCTCCTTAAAAAATGACAATAAAGTGTCTATATAAATTTTATTAGATAGTTTCTATTAAAAAAATTATGTAGATCAGTTGGTTGAGTGTGAGTGATTGGCTGCGATGTAGTGGGTTCAAACCCCCCAAAATAATTTTTTTTGGGTGTTTTTAAAGACCACCTAAACGACATCGTTTTAGTGGCTGAATTAAAAAAATCGACCAAACCATCTACCATAGTAAACCGATATGCCACGTCATTAAACATTGACGGAAAACTCACACCGTTTATGGTTTTGATGAATTTGGCCGCATTTTAATATTTCATGTAGCTATATGCATGGTTCAATAGTTCGTGTATGGACTTTTAGAAAGCATAAAGTTCGTGGGGGGGGGGGGGAATCGGCCGTTTTCCCGTTATGTTGATATGGACATAACACTTATTGGGAAGACTGCTCTGGATTACTGGAAGAAGTGGGAAGACATAGGTACTTATGAAACAGTCTTGACTTTGCGCATGTTTCGTCTGACCTATGATTCTGAAGGTTAGTAATTAAATTTTATAATCGAGTGGGAACATTCAATTCCACTTTGTTAATATGATAATTTGGCTTCTAACATGTGTGCTCTTCATATTTTAAAATCATACAGGGAGATATCGCATAGAATTAGTTGGAACTATCTCTGCCGTAGGCGAACTCTTAAATGAACAAGGACAATATATATTAAATTTTAATCTGGAGGATGCAAGAGTAAGTTTTACTTCATCTTCATATTATTAGGGGACATATTATTTAGTTTCTTTACTCGACTTTGTACTGTAGCTTATCAAATATTTATTGACAATATTGAAGCGCAAGTATTATGGGCTGTGTTGCATTTGGTGATATTGCGAAAAATTTCAAGTATGAGTGGATGCATAGTGGAACTTATCGTTCTGTATGTGTTCTCCGTTTTTTGGAAATTAAAGAAGGAAAAGGTTAGTAAAAATATTATTTAGTATTAAATCTCATATATACCATAGTATTTGTATACAACATGTACGTAAGTTAGATTGCTAAAAAACAGTTTTTAATATAGATCACGATTCTGGACGGATGTGTGTTTATTCTGTTATGGGTTGTTCACAGTTTTTAATAGACCCACAAATACAAGAAGCCATTGAATTAAAAAAGAAGTAAGTTAATATTGATATATATATATATATATATATTTGATCATATTTTAGTATATATTATAATACTAATCAAGGTGTATTCACATTTATATATTATGTATCGATCGGAGATGAGGTGTTTGAGCATTTTTTGCTTAGTAATCACATTTGTGTAGGATAATATTATTGTCCGAACGATGTTAAGAGATTTATAATAATGTTTATGCTATTTTTAGTTATCCATTGATTTTGTAACAAAAGTCATAATCTGTTTTAAAGTATAATTTATGTCTTTAAATACATATAATAATTAGTTTGAAATATGAAGATAACTTTGTGTCTTTCACGGAATGTTTAATAGCACTAAATAAAATAGGTTTTAAAGATTTGCATAGCCAAACCTGCAATTTTAGTTGGCAATATGCAAATTAAAACATCAAAATTTAAAAATTATATTGTAGTTTGTAAATGAAAACTATTAAAATTAAAATGGGCTGAGTAGAATCAATATATATGTGTACTCTATTTATCTACTCAAAACATCAAATGCAAAGACAGTATCGATCAACCTATACCGGACCGGTCCAAAATGGTTTATATTCCTTTATGAAATTTTTTTTTTCTTTATATAAATTTAACATCATTTAATGGTTTTGATTTTTTAATACTGAAGTTTTCCAATATATGCTGTAATAAATATTAATTAAGGAAAATATATATATCTTTTATTACTTATTTAGTTCAAATATTTAATATTATATAAGAACATTTGTATGAACATAAATTTAGATTATTGGGCCGTTGCACATCTACTCATCCATATTGGGCCGTCCATTTGAGACTTATATATTCACAATATAAATTTATATCTCTACATAATAAAATTCAGACTCATCGATGTTTAAATTCCACATATTATTTCGTCTATAATATAAAACTTCATAACTTTAATTAAACATTATATTCGACATCCATTTTACTTTTAAAAACAAATATTAAAATAACAAAAATTACGTCTGCTACCAATGGACGGGTTAGAATCTAGTTATAGATTAATCTTTAAAGAGCTATGCAATGCCATCAATGAGTAGCCGTTAAACTGAAATGATAAGCAATAAAGTTTACAAGATTTCACAAAAAATAATATGAGAAATTGCGAATGCGAGTCTAATGCTCCCGTCTTTCTAGTCTATAGAACAATACGCGATTGGAAAACGAAAAATTAAAACTTGCACTACGAAATTTCCCACAACATTAATAATTACGTATTTAGTGATGCTTTGAAACCAGGAGTTAAATTCAAAATGGCCTCAAACAACAACGAATTAGTAGATGGTTGCTTTTTTAAAATAACACGAAAACCCAATTCTTTTACATACCTCAATGATTACTCTGGATGTCGATCAAGATTGAAATCAAACTGTCATCAAGAAGAAAAAGCAATGGAATCATGCATTGTAATTGATCTATGTATTGGTAACTATATTTTTTTTTTAAAGGCCTCTTTTGTCTTTTGGCTTGTGAGATAGAAAATGTGCATGGCTTAAGATGTAAGGGTAAACTAAACAAAAGATATAGCAGCTAGAGCACCACATAATATAATAGTATAGATTTTCTTTCTTTCTTTTACAGCCGAAGAAAAAGATGTTCCAAGACTCATTTCATGTACTTAAAAGTCTGAAACAAGGGAAGAAGAAGCCCAAAACAAAAACAAAACGCTCAGCGAATGGGAACTTTGATCCAGCCATTGGCGAAAGCTACGGCTAAGATGACGAATGGAGTTGACATGCCAAAGATAATAATGTAAGGGAGAGGAGTCTTCATCGGATTCTCCCCTTCTCTTTCTCCAGCGCTCTGCCAATACCTGCATTAATGCAATTATGCAAAATCCATCCATAAAAATTTTTCTTTAATCACTAATGTGTATTACATGTTTATGAAAATTGAGCATTTTCTTCCTGCAGCGTCTGGATGAAAAAAAAAAAAAAAAAAAGTAGGCCTAAATCACAAAACCAAATAATATCAATTAAACATGGTTAAGCCAGTTGCAAAACACCATTTTAGATTATAATTTTGTTGGTTTTAATTTTTTAGATGAGCTTTCTCATCTTGGGTCGTTTCACGATTATTTTAATCCCTTGTTGTTTAAATTCCAACATAGACCGTTTGACTCGTTGCTAAAATTAAGAATGCTTATAGGTATGTAAACCCTTTGCTACCCGTTTTTTCAAATATTAAGTTTTTAGATTTTATGCAAAACAAAAACCCCTTCAAATAACTTTTTTTTTTTTGCAAGTTTATCCATAATTTGAAAACAAAATGAAAGATAAACCCCTTGGAGTCGATTTTAACAGGCAATGTAACTCGCCGTCACCACCGTCAAGTTTGTTAAATTATGATAGTCTATATATCAAATCGAAGTCCTCGTGACGAGAAGTCCAAAACTACTTTTATAGTTTAGAAACTCTAATATGTGGGACTGTAAAAGCTATTTGAATTTACATCTGAGGATTATATTGCAGGTTAAAAATAGACAAATCTTTTAGCTGTGTTGGCAAAAAAAAAACAAACTCATTGTGAAAGTGATTCTGGAAAATTAATGATAAACAGCAAAAGATTTAACAAATGAAAAAAAGAAAAATGAAAAAGGAATTATAATAATAATCCGCAATTTCGTGAAAGGAAATTGAAAGGTGGAGATGAAAGGTAAGTAAGAAAACTAACTGTTCTGGTTCTTCTTCTTTGGTTATGAATTTCTTCTTTTCTTTAGGCTTCACTTCTCCATCTCCTCCACCTTAAGCAAGACCAGAGATTTAATACCTTAAATGGGAAATTTCTGATTTTAAAAAGAGATAAGAGTACCTAATTTGGCGTGAATCTTGAATCGTTTAAACCCTGAAAGAGATGACGTACAGAAGAATTGAGGCAAAGCAAGCAATGGTGAATATGAGGAAGATGATGAGGTTGTGGAATCATTAGTCTTGTGAACAAAGGAATAAGAGATTTTAGAAGAAATGTGGATTTTGGCTGCCATTTTCCAACAACAATACGTTTTTCTTTGGGATTTTTTTTCTTTTGTAATTGACTGTTTTATATGGTTTTTAATTTTTCCATATATTTATTTTGTATATATTTTTAATTGCATATATGTATATGTGGCATGTTTGGTACCACTGGATGACAGTTGGGAAAGGCATAAAATCTTATCTTCTTCTTACATTTTTTTTTTGTATTCTGATGTTTTGTTAGAATTTCCATTGCTGGATTTGTATTGAACCGATTAATTGTATAAATGACGAATTTGTATTGAACCGTTCTATGTATTTATTCTGATGACAATATTTTTTTTATATTAAATTCGTTGATCGACAAAGAGTAATTTAGAAAACTAAATTTAACAAATTAAATGGAAAACATGTTACAAATTAAATATGGAAATAGTGGCAGACTCACCTAGATTGAAATCATCCTTTAAGAAATTTTGTAACTTTAGCGAGTCATACTTACAGAAAGATATATACTACATTGGACCAAAAAGCATAAGAAATATGAAACAGAAAGAGTCATGTCAAGCATCAGATTACAGAAAGCTATATACATTGGACCATTAAAGAAAGAGAGTTTTATCTAAGAATACTTTGAGACCTGAGTTCTCAAGGAACTTCGGTCAATAAGCATGAAACAAGCAATTATATCTCTTAAACAAGCAGTTTTGGCAAAACTATTTGTTCTAACCTTTGAGGAAACTCTGCTTCTATTGGAGAACAATCTAATCTAATGCCCTGAAAGTGCATATCAACGATCATGCCACAAAAGTGTGTTAAAATTAAAGTTTACTATCTAATCAAGACAGTCTTCTGTTAGTGTGAGTAGCTTGGTAAGAGGCACATATTTTCCTCAGAATTTGATCATCTTCTCGAATCAAAATCATTTTTCAAAAGAAGTTGAAAACTGTTTATGTCTTTAACATCTGGTCTTTCAAATGATATGTAAAGTAAATGAAAGAAATACAAGTAATAACCTCCTTGTTTCCTTTTGCCTCTTGCAGGTAGATGTAGACCATACTGGATCTGCACCAAACCTGGAACATAAGCGCACATAATTGGCCAACATTTAGATTCCCCGAGAACGGCTTCTTTGTAGCATCCATCCTCTCGAATAATATGAGCCATGCTGTTGTTTCTCTTTTCTTTGTCTCTAGCACAAACCACAACGACTTTCTTCTCTTTGTTAATAAAGAAACCCTCATATACTATATCTATATCTTCTTTATAGATTGATTAACCAAGTCTATGCAGTGATGGATTCCATGGAGATTAACACTTATCAGAAAAACCTTATAATCATTAATCATGATCCACAAAACTCTTTGGCTGCTTTATCACAATGCTTCTTTGTAAAGCGCTGATCTTTGGATAAATCATTCCATCCTTTTCAAGTAGATCTCACCGCTTTTAGAGAAGTTATCGAAACCTTAGAGAGTATCTCATCTATCAATTCTTTCGAAAGATCAGGCATCATCATCATTGTTGTCAAAGAAGAATTAGGGTTTTTAACTTGCTCAGTACTCTTTTTATATAGACAGGGATTATGTGTAAGACACGCCGTTTTAAAAAGTATTTTCCTTTTTCAATGTCGTTTCTTATATATAAATAAGTTTTGTTTTTTGTATTTTAAAAGGAAAATTTGTTGCTACTAATTTGTTGTATATTAAGAATGGTTCTTTAGTGTCAAGCCTTAAGGGATTGGGCAGTGGATTATGTGCAAGTTCTTCTGTGTATTTCAAATTAGCAAAAAAAAAAAAAAAAAAAAGGGAAAGAGCTATGAATTTGTGTGTAACTTAAGCCAATCTTGCTTCCTTATATAATGAAATTGTGTATCAAGTTCTTGTTCCTCTTCAGGATCCAATCTCAATCTCAAGGAACCTGTTTTCATCGGTAACCAGTGAACAAAATTAGAAATTCTCGGTGTCTCATTTACAGACTCATCTGTCTTGGTTTAGATATCAAAACAAGCAATTGGCTCTCTTAGTCTTTCTAGAACATTGAAACAGAGTTTGGCCCAGGTTTGTTCCTCGTAGACTCATTGTCCGTGCAGGAAGGGAAAATCACAACTCGATAACTCATTGTAGATATTCACCATCTTCACAACATGTTCAAAATTCTCGGAAACAAAATCAGAATACTCAAGGTAAAGCAGACTTGGAGTATCAAAGGAAATGCTCTTGGATTTATAAAGATAGAAGTAATCTTGTCAAAGCAATATGTGAAGTGTTATGAACTAAAATAGCAAGAAATCATGAATAAACATCCAAAAAACTCTGATCGTCTTGAAGCTCAAACTGGAAATGCCAATCAAATAAACCCAAACAATTAGTGCATTGTATCAATTTCCCAATCTTATATTTATGGTGGTTTCAGATGAAAATGTCGTTGCATCTATATATGAGCTACTTTGGACCAAAAAGAAAAGAATATGAAACAGAAAAAGTCATGTCAAGCATCAGGTTAAAGAAAGAGCTTTTTTTCTGTGAGAATACTTTGAGGTCTGTGTTCCCCCAAGGAACTTCTCAGTCTCATGCACTGTTCTGGAACATGTTTTGGTCAATAAGCATGAAACAAGCATTTGACTCTTTTAAAACTTCCTAAAAGATTAAACTAAAGGAGTGCATTCTCTGCCCATAGGTTATCCATAATACTGATTGGCAAAAACTAATCTAATAATATAGCATTAATGATGCGCTGAAAGAGCATATCACTGATCAATGCCAAAAAGTCTGTTACAATAAAAGCTTATTATCTAAATTAAAACAACCTTCTGTGAGTGTATGTAGCTTGGTAATAAGAGGCATATGTTTTCCTCAGAATTTGATCATCTCCTCGAAATAAAAATCATATCTCTGCCACTCATGAGGTTGAAAACTGTGTATATATTAACTGGTCTTGTTCAAACTGTCTATATATCAACTGGTCTTGTTTCCTTTTGCCTCTTTTAGATAGATGTAGACCTAGTAGTGGATCCTTTGATTGATCTGTATCAAACTTGGAACGTAAGCGCAGATAATTGGCCAACATTTTGATTCCCCGAGATCAATGTTTTTGTAGTATCCATCCTCTTCAATCATGTAAGCTACGTTGTTGTTTCTCTTTTCTTTGTCTCTGACACAAACCACCACGACTTTCTTCTTTGTCTCTGACACAAACTCATTTGAGACAATATTCTTTCATCATTTGTAACGAAGAACTTCCTCCATGACACTGCATTGGGCTTGATCTTAGTTGTAATCCATATCTCCATCTCATGTGTATTCGCACGCTTAAGTAGCACTGCGAGCTAATTTTCTCTGATAGAGGATAGAAGCACAGAATCGTGAAAACAATTAGAGTGAAAAGGTAGAGGCAGACGCGTTCCAAATCTCTCTCTGGTAATATCAAAACAAACTAAAAAGTTAGCATATAATTGTTTCTCGTTCAATCTTCCGTGAGCAACAAAGTAAGTATTTCCCTCCAAAGACACAGAACGTTGATGATATGGTTTATACCAATCATCTGAACTGACATCAAGAACCTTCCATGAATTAGACTTAAAATCATAGATTTCATACTCAACAATTGAGGGCTTAACAACATATGGATTGCGAACCAAGACTTTTTGGTTTCTGTTGCTGTTGTCGTATCCTATAAAATACTCATCAAATAAGCGGAAATAGTTTCTTGGTTGGATCCACCTGACTTGTCCTGAATGAGGGTTCAAAACCACGAGCCTAGGATTGTCTTCTTTTGTGAGGCATAACAATAAGCCATCACAGTGAAAAACTCGAAACATCTCGACTTGATTAAGTAAAATACCTATCTTCTTTATAGATTGATCAGCCAAGTCTTTGTGGTTATGAATTCCATGGAGGTTAACGCTCATCAGACAAACCTGATAATCATTAATCATGATCCACAACAACTCTTTGGCTGCTATATCACAATGCTTCTTTGTAAAGCGCTGATCTTTGGATAAATCATTCCATCCTTTACAAGTAGATCTATCAATTCTTGTGAAAGATCAGACATCATCGTCATTGTTGTCAAATAAGAATTAGAGATTATCTGTGAGTCGTTACTACGAGACATCTTCCGCTTAAAAAGCCACTTTATTTTCCAATGTGGTTTCCAAAATTCTGGGAAAAGGGCCAATTCCCCAAGAACTTTATGCTTTTTGAAAGTTCATACACGAACTATTAAACCATGTATATAAAATGCGGTCAATTTCATCAAAACCGTAAACGGTGTGGATTTTCTGTCAAAGTTTAATGACGTGGCATACCGGTTTACTATGGTAGATGGTTTGGTCGATTTTTTTAATTCAGCCACTAAAACGATGTCGTTTAGGTGGTCTTTAAAATCACCCAAAAAAAAATTATTTTGGGGGGTTTGAACCCACTACGTCGCAGCCAATCACTCACACTCAACCAACATTTACATAATTTTTTTTAATAGAAACTATCTAATAAAATTTATATAAACACTTTTTTGGGATTTTTTAAGGAGAGGATAAATTGTGGTGCATGTTCTTTGCGTTTCCTGGGATCCTGATTCTTCTTCAGCAATGGATTCACAAGAAGGCTAAGGAAAATTCGTCTGTACTAGGCTGTATCTCGAAGCAATCATACTCTTTGCAATAGCAAGAATCCAAGGGGAACAAAGTGAAACCCTAGCTTTGTTTTTGGTGCGAATCATCATTCTCATCATAATCAAACCTTGCTCTTGATCGAAATTATCAGTGATATTAAGTTAGTTGTAGACCTGTTCCTCTGAGAAGAATTCACAGCCGACGAAAGTTGAAGGAGAGGAGAGATTTGATTTCTATTTTAGATGAAGAAGACGACATCGAAGAAAAGGAGTTTTAGGGATAAAAAAAAAAGAAAAGAGTTTTAGTAATTATTTGATAGATAAAAATAAAAAGTCTATCTAGCTCAGTTGGTTGAGAGTTATATGGTTCACTGTGATGTTGAAGGTTCAAACCCCGCAAATGAATTTAATTTTTTATTTTGTTTTTTAAAGTCTAGCACGTCAGTTCCAACGGGTAGAAGTGCGGAATGGCGAGCAA